AAAAAATCACCCACTGACTTTCAAAGCTGCTAACGACTTTCTACTTCGAGGATCTTGATAGAAATGTAGTGGAGTGAAAAGTACAATATTTGTCTTTCAAATGTAGTGAAGTTAAAGTCATAAGTTTCCAGAAAAAATAATACTCAAGTAAAGTACAGATACTCAAAAAGTGTACTTAAGTACAATACTCAAGTAAATGTACTTAGTTACTGTCCGCCTCTGCTGTTAACACCCTGTGTATACCAGGAATTTTTGCTTTGTGATTGTAAGGATCTGCGATCCCCTCCTGATAATTTTTGTTTGTTTATTTGTTTTTGCTTAACTGCTTTAAAATTATAGTTTTTTTTTTGTCACGTATTGACAAAGAAAATTAAGAACATGTCTTTACACATTTATAGCAAGACAATATAAATCTAATTTGACTCGCCTATCACTTGAAGAAAAAATCCATCCTGCTGTCCAGGGTTAAAAGAGCACATTTAATGAAGATGATTGCTGTAGCCAACTAACTTAAGCTATATGTCCAGCTTAGGTGCAAAGTCGTTGTCTTTTTTTTTTTTTTTTTTTTTAGCTGAAGCTTGAATGGCAGCATGGTAAAATTAATGGTGATCAAATATTTAATATCTCAACCCTCCATAATTAAAGTAATTGCTAGATCATTAGCAGGAGAATTTCTAACTATTTTTATGTAAAGTATGTCTCTACGAGGATTGGTTGATATACCAAAGCCTCCTCTGCAATGTATTTGACGGTGATTGGCCTTTTTCTTTTTTAAACCAAGTCTCTGGCTATGGATTTTGCCCCCCAGCTCACTTCTCCATCCCCTCAGATTCTCTTTAGCACAGTTTTCCGAACACTTGGAAGTACATTGGCAGATTTGACATGTTCATTGGAAAGAGCAGTGGTGGTTCTGACTTCAGTAATATGTTATGGTGTTACAGAGGTCAATTTACAAACAAGAAATTCACATTCTTAGACATGAAATTAAAAACTAGGATTTTTTAACATTAGCATTTTAACATTTAGCATGTCATTTTACAGTGTCCTTGTTACATGTTAAATGTTCTGCAAAAACAACAGTAAATTATGCATAATTAAAGTAACTAACCCTAAAGCAAACCATAACCATATAATAAGTAAATGTTGTTAATTGATATTAATCAGTACTTATTTGTGTAATTACACTGTAACAGGGGCAATATTATTATCACATAACAGATGTTTTCATATAGTCCATGTGACTAAATAATAAACAAATTACCTGGATGATCCATGACTATTTTTATGTTTTATGTGATAGTCTTCTGTATATTTGAAACCCTTTCCAACAGTAACAGTGTTGCTAATCAGTGTTCATCTCAAATTCAAATAGAGGACAACTGAAGGACTCAAAACACTCCCATTATAAAAGATGCAAACATTTACTGATGCTCAGAAAGGCAACATGCATTAAGTAGGTTTCTTTTTAAACCTGATGATCAGGGTAATTTGTACTTATTTTGTCCTCTGGGAAACAAGTAAATAACTATTATAGCTTTTTGAGTACTCGGTACTAAATTAAACAAGACCTTTAATCAAAACAAGAAAGAAGAAAAAAATTACACTCCATAAATTTCAGTTCTCTTTAATGCATTGTTTTGCCTTCTTGAGCATCACTGAATGTTTGCAGTTTTTATAAAAGTTGCATATGAGTCTGTGAATGGATACGCTAAATTAGGGGTGGCCAGTCCTGTTCCTGGAGATCTACCTTCCTGCAAAGTTCAGCTTTAACCCAAACACAACTGAAGCTGCTTATTAAGATTTTCTGGAGCACTTAATAATTAGAGACAGGTGTGTTGATTCAAGGTTGGATTTCAACTGGTAGGTCGATCTCCAGGAACAGGATTGGGCACCCCTGCACTAAATGATAACTCTTTCCATCTTTTTATATTCGTTCTCGCATGTTTCTTTCCTACAGTTTATCCACACTCTTGAGAGCCAGAGGACATTTTCACCTAGAGACAGAGGATATGTGGCCTCTTTGCTCACTGTGGCTCTTCACAGTAAACTAGAGTATTTCACTGACATACTCAAAACACTGTTGAATGATCTGGTGGAACAGTATATTGCCAAAAACCCTAAACTCATGCTCCGGAGGTAAGTAACTGATATTAGAAGTACTAATTTAATAATATTCACTGTTCTAAAAAAAGTGTCTGTGTGACTGAGACTTGATTTGTCTTCTCAGAACTGAGACGGTAGTTGAAAAGCTCCTGACAAACTGGATATCCATCTGCCTCTATTCTTTCTTAAGGGTGCGTATGAAAATTGGTAGGATTGGTTGGTTTTTAATACATACATTTACTGTGGATAAAATGAGATGCATTATAGGTGAGACACTTACAAATTATTTTTGCATTTCTGAAAAATGTGATTAGAACAGTGTAAAACAATTGTCCAAGAATGTAATTAGCCTCCTAATACCCGAGAATGTCCTAATTAAGATTGCAGGATAGTTTAACATTGAGGCCCTTGAAGATCTGATGACAGTTGATAGAATTTTAAAATAATTTCTTTTTTTTTTTCTTTTTGAGTAGATTATCCATGTTGTATTTTGTAAATGATTGTATTTCTGCTCCCTGTGTTCAGCATTCAGCTGGTGAGCCTCTGTACATGCTCTTTAGAGCAATTAAACACCAGGTGGATAAAGGACCCGTGGATGCAGTGACTGGCAAAGCCAAATACACCTTAAATGATAACCGCTTGCTAAGAGAGGATCTGGAATACCACACTCTGGTTAGAATTTTTTTTATTTCTTTATCATGAACTCAGTCTCTTTATTGCACAGTGCATTTAGTGCATTAGTCTAATTTGCTTCTGCCAGAAATCTTTTGTAAAAAAAATTGTTTCAATATGACTGAAATTCTCCATCTTAGCTCACAGATTGTGTCCACACTTAAACTATCACAATGTTTGGTTACACATTATTTTAAGGTGTCATTGTTAGTGTAATTACACCAATAAGTAGAACTTAGTGAAGGTAGCACCATATTTAATTTTGGAGAGGAATAAAAATGAAGCTGTGAGGGATAGAAGTACAGTGTGTTTAATGGATTCTGCTGTTGTTTAACAACATACTGATTGTTCAGCTAATTAAAAAAAAGACAAAAAACTCCAGAAAACAGTTTTGAAAGTTGTCAGTTGGGAATATTATGGGATCTAGAATCTTTTGTACAGTGTGTGTTATTGTAAAGAGTGTAAGCCTGTCCCTTACAGACTTGTTTTTCATCTGCGTTAAAGGTTTAGTTCACCCAATGACAGCAAGGATATTACCACGATCAACACACAGAAACGTAACAAGGACATCGGTAAAAGAGTCCATGTGACATCAGGGGTTCAACCGTAATTTTACGAAGCTACAAGAATACATTTTGTGCGCAAAGAAAAGAATAAAACATAATTTATTCAACAAATCTTCTCCCCGAGTTACTGTCTTCTGCCATTTTGAGAATACCCCAGAACGTAATCAACGTAATCAGCGTTGTTTACGTTCAGCATGCGCATGCTGTCTACTGAACTCGGGGAGAAGAATTGTTGAGTAAGTTATGTTATTATTGTTTTCTTTGCGCAGAAAATGTATTCTCATAGCGTCATAAAATTACAGTTGAACCCCTGATGTCACATGGACTACTATTTTACCGATGTCCTTTCTGTTGTAGCGAATCAGCTCATGGGGAAATATGAATAATTAACCATAACTAGTTGAGAAAGCAGAATGAGAGCCGGCTCGCATTCCACAAGGTTGTAAATGTATCGGGTTACCATGAAACCAGGGTCTTGTTCGGCGTCCTGGGGTGTTACAAAGTATTTGTGAAATCTAGCTAACAAAATATATATTGTGTGTTGGAGTGGTCCAGATGCTACACTGTGTTTCTGTGCATTGATCGTGGTAATATCCTTGCTGTCTATGGAGGGTCAGAGAGCTCTCAGATTCCATCAAAAATATCTTAATTTGTGTTCCGAAGATGAACGAAGGTCTTACAGGTTTGGAACGAACATTTTTGGGCGAACTATCCCTTTAAATTTAACATGGCATCTAACCTGACTAAGGTGTATAGCAGGGGTGCCCAACCCTGCTCCTGGCGATCGACTGTCCTGCAAAGTTCAGCTCCAACCCTAATCAAACACACCTGAAGCAACTAATTAAGGTCTTCAGGATCACTCAAAAATTAAAGGCAGGTGCGTTTGATTAGAGTTGGAGCTAAACTTTGCAGGACAGTCGATCGCCAGGAGCAGGGTTGGGCACCCCTGGTGTATAGGGTTAGGATTAGAGTTTGGTTTGGTGTTATTTGCTTGTAATTATGACTTATTTACTGTTATTACTGTAGTAAGTACCTGTAACATGTATAACAAAGAAGGATACTGTAAAATAGTGTTACATACACTGATGAGCCAAAACATTATGACCACTCATAGGTAAAGTGAGTATTGTTAATCATCTTCTAAAAAAAGTGAAAGTCTAGGTAATTTATATTGTAAATGAACAATCAGTTCATTTAGTCAGTGTATTGGTGCAGGAGAAATGGGCAGGAATAAAGATCTGAGTGCAAACTGACAAGGGCCAAATTGTTGGAACAGCAATGCTTGTAGGGTGCTCCTGAGCAGCATTTTTGAGAACTTACCAACAGTGGTCTGAGGAGGGTCAAACCACAAAGTGGTGACCGCATGTAGGGCGTCCAGGGCTCTTTGATGATTGAAGGTCCATGTGTCGACAATTTTAATAATGGTTCTGTGTAGATGTAGACTGATCAGAGTGTCCATGATGACCCCTGTCCAGAGCCGAAAGCCCCTAGAATGGGTACACAAACAAGAGAACTGACCTTGGGGCAGTGGAAGAATGTTTTCTGGTCTGATGAGTCCTGTTCTCTTTTGCATCACGTTTATTTGGGGATTTATTGACACCAGGTTGCACTGCAAGAAGTTGACAAGCTGCTTGAGGGTCTGTGAAGCTCTGGGCATTGTTCTGCTGAGAAACCTTGTTTCTTGCCATTCATGTTTACACGCCACATGCCACCAACATAAACCTCATTGCAGTCCAGGTAAACCTTTCATGACAGTGGCATTCTCTGATGGCAGTGGCCTCTTTCAGTAGGATATTGCACCCTGCTACAATGCACACATTGTTCAGGAGTGGTTTAAAGAAGGGTAATGAAGAGTTTGAGTGTTGTCCTGATTTCCAAATTCTTTAGATGTTGATCTGACTAAGCATCTGTGGCAAGTGCTGGACCAACCAGTCCAATCCATGGTGGCTCAACCAATCTACTGATAATGTTTTGGTGCCAAGATACCACAGGACACCTTCAGGGAGTCCATAACTTGGTGGGTGAGTGCTGTTTCAGCAGCACAAGGAGGGCTAACAGCATGTTAGACAGGTGGTCCTAATGTTTTGGCTCATCAGTGTATTAATATAGAATTAAAATTGTTCTCACAGTAAGTTTCTAAACCCTGTGTTTCTGTCTTATGAATATAATTGAAGGATGATTGTAGTTGCCTAGTTTAGATCCAGTTCTCTGGTTCTGATAAACTGGCTGCCAATAGAAAAAGCAAAGGGTTCAGATAATTAAATGTAATTTTTCAGCAAAACATTGCTGGTTTTATGGTAGAGGTGAAAGATGTGCAATTTTAAGATTATAACCGATCATTATTAACCAGAACCCATCGTCTTGAAGGGAAATGGAAAATCAACTGGGATATTTACAATAAACAAATCAGTTTAAAGATTTATTACAGAATCATAGGTGGATTTTTTTTGTGCTTATATAAAATGTAGATAATGGAAATGTGATTTAAAAAAAAAATACTTTCTCTCTCTAATTCTTTCTTCACTTTAGACAGTGAATGTCTTGATGCAGGGAATAGGTGTGAATGAGGCTCAGCCAGTTGCTGCGAAAGTTTTAGACTGTGACACTATAACCCAGGTGAAGGAGAAGATACTAGACCAGGTGTACAAGGGCACCTCATACTCTCATAGACCACACGCTGACTCTGTGGACCTAGGTGAGAATGTTCATACATGTCTGCACTCTCTCATACATATCAACTGTGTCCTTTCTATGTTGTATTCATTCATTCTTTCATTCTTTGTTTCTTTTCAAACTTTACATGTCTTTGACTTTACATGTGGTTTTCATTGTTCCTTGGACATTCCCAGAATGGCGCTCTGGTGTAGCAGGTCACCTAATCCTCTCAGATGAAGATCTAACATCTGTGGTTCAGGGCAACTGGAAACGCCTCAACACGCTCCAGCATTATAAGGTACAATGCAATCTTCAAAAAACACATTGCTGTATACCACTCAAGTCAAGTGCTTTACAAAAAAAACAATGCCTTATAAATCCTCTTACTGAGAAAGCCTATGGAAAAATTGAAGGTGCAGGCACATGAACCATTGCTGGGTGAAATTTTCTGGGCGAAATCCAGTTATTTCAATAGAAATCAGTGCAATTTGGAATTTTGCATGAGGATTGAAATTTCCAACGCATGTTTTTGCATTGGATTCAAGGTGGTCATGCGAATTTGATCAACAGAAATATGCCTTTTTTGAAAGTGGGGGACTGAATTGGGACTATCCTCATTTGAGTGGCTTGTATTAAATTCATGTACGCATGTCAAATATTCCGCAGTAACATGACAAATTATAGGTAACATTTTTATGTTTTAACTTCTATTCTTCATGTATTTTGGGGAATTCAGGTTCCAGATGGAGCAACTGTAGCTTTGGTGCCGCGCCATAGCAAACATATTCACCATGATACCCATGATTACATTGCAGGGGAGAGTGAGTACAATATATTGCATGTGACTATGCAAAGTATTCATGTTCAAAGATACACACAGACATACACACAGGGTTGTTTTTTTTTTATCTAATCTTGAAACACTACAGTATTGTTTAAAAAAAAAAAATGAATGAGGCTTTATTGTGTGTTCTCTTTTCAACACCTGAATATACATCTTTTATTCTCCCTAAAAAGAGACACCCATGCTAGAGGATGCAGATGAGGGAGGAGTGAGAATGTGGCATCTAGTGAAGGCCAGCGAGGAGCCAGAGTTACCCAAACACAGACGAGGCAGTTTAAAAGAACGAGAAAGAGCCAAGACAATACCTGAGATCTATCTCACACGGTTACTGTCAATGAAGGTAGCTTAAACGTGTGTTTACACACCCTAAAGATATATACAAAAGCATAAAGGAGATGCCAAACTCATACCAGTTATGCACAACTCTTTCCAGTAGGTATGGCTGAATACATGCACCGTTTTACATGTTGTGTCTTTGTCTTTCTGTAGGGTACACTGCAGAAGTTTGTGGATGATCTGTTCACAGTTATTCTAAGCACTAGTCAACCAGTTCCTCTGGCAATTAAATATTTCTTTGACTTGCTCGATGATCAGGCAGTGCGCCATGGCATTTCAGACTCTGAAACTATTCACATCTGGAAGACTAACAGGTACAAATTAACTTTGTAAAAGATTTAACCATAGAAAATGCTAAAAGACAATCCGGAAATGGTGGTGTAACTTCTAGGTTAATGCATGTCCACAAAAATAACTCATTCATTTTCATCTTTTTTTTCTTTGGTCACCTTTTTTATAGTGACCTGTGATCTTTAACAAAAATTGACTTGCACTCATGAGGTTCCAAACTAAGACTTTTGTTCATTTTCTGTGTAAAATAGTTGTTTGGACTTTGAATGGATAGACAAAAATGTTAAGAGAATTAATAATATCTTTATTTGTGTCCCGAAGATGAACAAAAGTTTCTATTTTGTGTGAACTATGGCTTTATCCTAAGTATTTAATGGAGGTACTTTATGATAGAATTAGATATTGAAAGCCCTAACAGTGTTAAAACAATCAAGTATCCACCAAGGAGTGAAGTAATAGTTTAAAATGTTCTTGATGATCTGATTTGGTTGTCTTTTGGTTCTAGTTTGCCTCTGCGGTTCTGGATCAACATTGTAAAGAACCCTCAGTTCATCTTCGATGTGCAGGTGTCGGATAATGTGGACGCGGTTCTGTCAGTTATTGCTCAAACATTCATGGACTCTTGCACTACCACAGAACATAAACTTGGCAGGGTAAGAGACAAACAGAGAAAGCAACAGGAAGCCAGTAGAGTGGAATATTGACATGGCTGAAGATTGTAAAACTGAAATGTCAATTTGTATTCCTTTTAATGATCTAGGATTCACCTATTAATAAGTTGCTGTATGCCAGAGATATCCCTCGCTATAAACAGATGGTTGAACGGTAACATTACCCTGGACTGCTTTACTACTATAAAGGCCATATTGGAAAGTCAACTTGTTCTGAATCCCACTATTTTTCTTACACAGTTATTATGCAGACATCAAGCAGACCATCTCTGCCAGCGATCAGGAGATGAACTCCGCTCTTGCTGAGCTCTCCAGGGTATGTCTGTCACCAGTTTACCTTCTTTCAGTTGTAAAATATGAAAAAGTCAAACTGACTGAAGTGAATTTGTAACGGGTTAGAGATGGGGGGGTTATTAATGGTGTTTTGTAGCACATGCAAATGTTGTTGTTAAAAAGATTTACACTCTCCACATTTGTTTTGACTGTCAGAATTACTCTGGAGAATTAAATTACCTGGTGGCCCTGCATGAGCTCTATAAGTACATCAACAAATACTACGATCAGGTGAGTCATGACAGGCTAAGATATATTTTAAGACAATGTATAAGCTCTTAGGCTAATACTTTACAAAAAGGTTCAGTTTGTTGTTTGTTAGCATCAGTTAACTACTAAAAAAAACATGAATTAACAATGTACTTCTACAGCATTCATTAATCTTAATGGTAATTTCAACGTTTACTAATATATTGAGTCACACTTTAGTTTGCGGACCAATTCTCACTATTAACCAACTAATAACTATGACTTTTGCCTCAGTAAACTTAATTTGATGCTTATTAATAGTTAGTAATGTAGTTGTTCATTTTAGGTATGGAAGGATTAAGGGATCTAAAATATAGTCATGCAGAATAAAGCATTAATATGTCCTTTATAAGTACTAATAAACAGCCAATATGCTAGTTATATGAATGCTAGTAAGTAACTAGTTTAGGGACCGATTCTCACTATTAAATAAAGTATGCTTTAAAAATATACGCTAGCTACTGTTCACAGGTTTAGTGTTTCTTTTTTAGGTTTTAGGTTTTCTTTAAAGAAATTAATACTTTAATTCAGCAAGGATTTATTAAATAGAGTGATTGTAAAAACTTGTATTATTAAAAGAAAATAACACATATTTCAAACTGTTCTGTTGAACTTTTGTCTTCATCAAGGAATACTGTAAAAAGTGTACCATGGTTTCCACAAAAAAAAATATTAAGCAGCACAACACTTTTCAACATTAATAATAATTGTAAATATTTATTGCACTAGATTGGGATGTTTGAATAATTTATGAAGGAAAATGCTCTTAAAGCTTCGCCATGAAGGGAAAAAAATCATTTTCAATTTTTACATTTTAAATAATGAAATTGAAATCTAAATATTAGCATTTTAAATATACATTAAAATAAAATAGTTATTTGAAATTATATTTGACAATATTACTGTGTTTAATGTGTTTTTTATCAAATAATTCCAAGCTGGCTGAGGATAAGAGAATTAACATTTTAAACAAAAAAAATATTTTAAAAGATGTTGTATATTGCTCATTTGTTCATGTTAGCTAATGCATTACAAATGAGACATCGTAAAGCGTTACCGATAACACTTTAGTATAGGGACAAATTCTCACTATTAACTAGTTTTTTATTAGCATGTCTATTATTATTACATTGGCTGTTTATTAGTACTAAAGCACAAAAAAGCACATATTCTGCATGACCATATTCTACATCCCTAATCCTACCAACACCTAAACTTAACAACTACCTTACTAACTGTTAATAAGCAACACATTAGGAGTTTATTGAGGTAAATGTCGTAGTTAATGGTTTGCTAATAGCAAGAATTGGACCTCAACAATACATTTTTAAAGACTACGCTTCTGCTGCTTATAAAAATGGACGTACTGTATTTGTGCTCTAATTTAATTCCTTTTTCCTGTATGTTTATGTGTGTGTTTATGTTAGATTATCACTGCCTTAGAGGAAGACACCACCGCTCAGAAGATGCAGCTCGGCTACCGGCTTCAACAGATTGCTGCAGCTGTAGAAAATAAAGTGACAGACTTGTGATCAAGGACAAAGTAAAGTGAAAGTAATAAGTGTGAAGACACTGATGAGTGGCTGTATCAGGGGTAGGCAAGTTCGGTCCTAGAGAGCCGCAGTCCTGCAGAGTTCAGCTCCAACCCTGAAAACAAAACTCACCTGCCTATAGCCTTAGTAATCCTGAAGACATTGATTAGCTTGTTCAGGTGTGTTTGATTAGGGTTGGAGCTGAACTCTGCAGGACTGCGGCTCTCTAGGACCAAACTTGCCTACACCTGGGCTATATGAACACATGGTACAGGTACTTTAGGTACAGCATAAATTGCAAAGCTACCATGTTTAGCAGGCGTACAAAAAGATCCTGTTCCATTTAGCTGTATTAAATTGGAATTTACTAACAAAGATACATTAAGACCCACAGTGTACTGTGATGTGTTGGGTTAGAAGGGGTGTATAGCCTTTAACTTAAATATGGTCTTGGGATTTTTTTTTTTTTAATATATATTGAAAAGGGTTATTCTCATCTCAGTCCTTTTTTATTTTGAAAAGCCTTGAGTATATGACTACATTTTACTCACACTGGAGGGTTTTTTCTGTAGGATTATCATGAAAAGCACACATGCTCAAGCTCTTGCTTGGTCATGACCTTCCAGCAGAACACTATTAGATGTTCTGTGCTTTGTCTACCTCCTCGCTTTGTATCTACCAGTTGTTCACTGTTGGTAACATTTGAATGTGATTCAGCATTTGCAGAGTTGCAGAAACATACCATGACTGACACACTGTAGTAAAATGATGTAGAATAATTTCAGCTTGTTAGGATATTGTAAATTGTTATAATGTCGAGTAAGTGTCACTGGAAAATACAGTATGAAAGAGTCTGTTTTGTTAACTTTTAAAAATGTTTAAATCTTGACTAGTAAGACCAAGTCTAGCAGACTTGTTACATGTAGTGTCACTGTTTCAACCAGTCAGGTCAAATAATGTTTAGCCAATTTTTTTTTTTTATTCATTTTAATCTGTTGGTATATTTTAAGCTTTTTTTTTATTTGAGGTACCAACATAGGATTGAATGAATTAATCATCTCTTACCACATCCTCTAACATTTCATCAATAAGGAATTTAAATTTTATGTAGGTACGTTTAAAGAATAGAAATCTTTAGCCTTCATGTGAGAAAATATGATCTGTATTGTATGTAAAGTTGTGCTCCGATAGTGCTGGTCCACTGTATAGGTAAATAGGCCACTCCCTTGCAATTAATTTCTTTTGATCAAAGACTGTTCTCAAACACTGAACAACACAAATTTGAGATAAATAGAAATTGTCAGAGAAAAGATGTGACTTGTCATATTTACTAATATTTTTAGTGTAGTATAATGTAAATAATGACTGAATTGTTACGAAACTTCTTAGCAAGTTCAGAAAGAGTAAATTATTATAAAACTTATGAATACTTCTTTAAAAGAGGTTTAACAATAAGCTTACAAGTTTAATGTTAAGCTGTTCTATAGGTTTGTGGTTCTGAATGTATGCGAATTATGGGAATACAAACGAAAGATCACTTGATCTGGTGTCTTTTCCATAGCATCACATGAAAACTAAAGTAATGTACATTGTGTTGGGCGTTCAAGGTGAACTTGATGGCATCAGTTTAATAATTAGGATAAATAAAGTTTACATTTGGAGAGCTCTCCCAGTTTTTCTTGGTGCTTAAATCTCATTTGGTATTAATAATGTTTATTAGTACTAGGTATACTGGAACTCACAGTCTAATGTAATTTCCAGTATTGTCTTTTGATTAAGTGATAACCTTTAAAGAATGACACTTTGTAAGACTGACGCCACTGCCCACTGAATGCTTATAAAATGCAATGCACCCTTCCTTTGTTCGACTTGATGAGAAGCACGAAACAGCACTGCAGAATCCTGCTGAAGATATTTCCAAGTATCTTGGTATTCTCTATGGGTTTCCAACAGTATGCGGGTGCCAATTTTGTTTAGCATAGCTTACTTTATAAAGATGTGTAAGCATTTCAATTTTATGCATGTACATGTGATACAAAAAGAACAATTGTGCATTTAAATGTATTAAAATACTATCGCAAAAAGGTCCCCAATTTAAGCCCCAAGTTGAGCGAGGAGTCCTTTCTGTATAAAATCGGTATGTTTTCTCAGTGTTGGCGTAAGTGAATTGGAAAATGTAAATTGCCCTTCTATGTGAATGTGTGTCTTTGTATGTTAGCTCTGTGATGGACTGGTTACCTGTCAAGGATGTTTCCCTGCCTTCGGCCTGAGACACTGGAATGTGCTCCCGTGACCCTACATAGGGGAAATGTTATAAGAAAGGGGTACCATACCTTACTCCTGCAGAGCTACAATCCTGCAGATTTCAGATCCAACCACAATCAAACACACATAATCCAGCTAACCATGGAGTTCAGGGTAACTTGAGAATTCTATCAATAAGAAGCCCATAGTAAGTTATTTGGGCACCTCTAATTTACATAAGCTATCAACACGGTAACAATGCTGGTTGAAAATTGGTGGAGACTTATAATTTAAATGTATTTTTAACCCTGTATTAATTTCTTTCTTCTGCGAAACAAAAAAGATGGTATTTTCAAAAAAAAAATTTATTTATTTTTTTAATCCAGACAATGAAAGTCAATGGGGTCCAGTGTTGTGTTAATCCTAACGTTCTTCAAAATGTATTGTGTTCTGCAGAAGAAAGTCTTGCTTGGAATGAAATTGGACAGAGAGTGAGTCAATGATGACAGAACTTTAATTTTTGCACTAAATATTCCTTAAAAAATTTTTTAATTAAAGAAACAAAAATCATACTGTACAAACACATTTAAACAAAAGACAATTAACAGAAAAGTTGACTTGTAACAAACAAGACAGAAAACACACTCTTTCTTCTTTTGGTTTTATGGCGGTTTGCTGACCAACCAACTTAATAGGTGATTACCACTACCTACTGAAGAGAAAGATTTTATTCCATCCTATTTTTTATCTTTTTAATGCAATCACATTAATTTGTTTTCATACATTTAGACCATCATTTAGTACATTACTTATTGTGAATTATTTATTTCCTAAAGACTGCTGTTCTTCTTTGACACTTCCATTCTCTTTTTAATGCATTAATGTGTAATGTAATGCATCCCTATAATGTGTAATGTTTGGTAAGGATTTGAAAATGACTTGTCTTGTTCCCTTCTGCTTATGTTATGAATGATACTCTTCTTTATGCTCATTTGTGCCAACCTGTTCCAATATGTCTGCCATTTCATATTGCATGCTTCAAAGGATTCGTTGGTTATTTTGTCTACCTTCTCATTACCCTGAATTCCTACATGTCCTGGTGCCCACATAAAATTAGTTGTTATCCCTATCTGTTTTATACTGTATAATCATGATTTCTGATAAAATGTCACTTTGATTCGTTTGCAATGATTGTAAACTCATAAGAACTGCCATTGAGTCAGAACATATTATTACTTTATCTGTTCTTACTTCATAAACCCAGCCTAGTGCCATTCGGATTGCTATCACCTCTATGTACAGTGGGTATGGAAAGTATTCAGACCCCCTTAAATTTTTCACTCTGTTATATTGCAGCCATTTGCTAAAATCATTTAAGTTAATTTTTTTCCTCATTAATGTACACACAGCACCCCATATTGACAGAAAAACACAGAATTGTTGAAATTTTTGCAGATTTATTAAAAAAGAAAAACTGAAATATCACATGGTCCTAAGTATTCAGACCCTTTGCTCAGTATTTAGTAGAAGCACCCTTTTGATCTAATACAGCCAATAAATCTGCAAAAATGTCAACAATTCTGTGTTTTTCTGTCAATATGGGGTGCTGTGTGTACATTAATGAGGAAAAAATTTTTACTTAAATGATTTTAGCAAATGGCTGCAATATAACAAAGAGTGAAAAATTTAAGGGGGTCTGAATACTTTCCGTACCCACTGTACGTATACGTGCTATCTGTTATTCTTCCAGTCTTCCTAACTGCAAACTCTATTATCTATTGCTGTGGTTCCCAACCCTGGTCCTTGACACTGCAACACTGCAACACCCCAACACTGCACGTTTTGCATGTCTCCTTAATCAAACACACCTGATTCAGGTCATCAGCTCATTAGCAGAGACTCCAAGACCTGAAATTGGTGCATCATAGAAAGACATGCAAAATGTGCAGTGTTGTGGTGCCTCAAGGACCAGGGTTGGGAACCACTGATCTATTGCATATGCTTTTAAATTAATCCCATCCCCCATTTCCTTAATCTTCTCATAGCTTTAAGTCACCTTCAGTATCTGAACTAGTAACCAGGGTGGTATTGATGTATTACAACTACTGGAGCTGGAGCAATTAACTTTGATTCTAGGCCAGTTTCATTGAAAATACACCCCTTTAAACTTGTCTGGCTTTTAAGATGTTAAAATGATGACGTACCATCGGACTCAAGCGTGTCCGCCATGTTTGTAGTTTTTTATTTGTTTGTGCAATCCACTATGTAGAAATAATGAATGTCTAAACGCGCGGGCAGACTTAGCTGCACTGTACAGGTGGCTATAGCGTTATTAAATTAAATAATTTAGTTCGAACGCTTCAAAACTTATTTTACATTTCGGTTTAAACAATGAGCTTTGTAGCGCATATGACCCGGAACTGTAACCGACATGACACTTGAACTTGGTGTATACGGTAATGGGTAGGTCACGTTTGCGCCGAAAGCTATTGTTGCAATAAATTATTTAAACTATAAGCAGCATTTAATGGACATAAAAGGTTAAAAATAATCGCATATCACAAATGACTTTATGCCAATTTGGGAGTGAAAAGACGAAACAATCGCTCGTTAAGAAGCTAACAGTCTCATTGGGTGATAATCGCTCGTGCAGTAGTGCAGTAAAACAGGTAAGAGCCAATATCCAGAACACCCTAAACTGCAAAATACGATTGTCCTGAGCTATTTTCAGTTGGACTATTAAAAAATTCCATTAATTAGAGGTGTCGCAGTTAACTACAATGCGTTCATTTGCATTCAAACTTAAGTGTGATCCAACCTAGAGCCTATTTATATATTAGAGCGTCAGTGAGTCATCTTATAATTCGAACACTGTAATACGAATAGGCTGCTATCTTCGATTAAAACGTTACAGTTTATCGCTTACAGTCTATTACAATACATTATGTTAATAAAGGATGTATAATGTGCATTTCTATATTTTAGAAATGGAGTCCCAGCAGGAAGTGAACCCTGTATTCCTGCAGCAGCTCAGAGAGTTGGACATACCTGAGGAGGCAGCAAAACAGGTACAGCACCTCACAAAATACAGCAAACCTGATTACAATTAATTAAACATTTGCAGTTTTGTTTGACTCTACAGTGATTGTTTCTCATAGTAGATATCAAAATATAGTGCACCCATTTTGAGAACCAGAACTGTTTGTATACTGGATATTACGGTTTGAAATACCTTGATGCGTTTGTTAATTTTGTTATTGTAGCAGAATCTGACATACATAAAAGCTGTTCACATTATGTCATGGTTTTTGGAGTGAGATGCTTTTATTGATCTTTTACAGGCACTCTTGCACACACAGAATGTGTCTGCGGAGGAGGCTGCAATGTATTACTTCAACAAACTAGAGAATGAGGTATATTTCAAGTAGTTTAATGCTACATTAAATACAGCTTTGTGTGTAGGGCATAATGGATATGACAAACCACTGATTTACTTTGATTTAAATAGTGAATAGATTATATACAGAATGTGCGCAAAGAGCACTCCCTTTATAGTCACTGAAGCCATTACTCACTTGTTTTGTGCTCTCATGAAAACTCCTGTTAATAATCAATGAAGCTGTCTACACTACACCATAAATTTCTTATTTACATTGTCTGTACTTTGTTGGTTTTAATGATAGCATTTGAAAGAAAGAGTGCACAACTCTCAGCTCGTGCTGAACAAAATTTTGACATCCTGAGCAAAGTTTGCCAGCGCAGTGACTGATTTTAATTGTGCTCGAATGGCCAATGAATTGTAATAGGAACATTTTGACTCAACAGAGATAGATGTAAATATAGAATGCTGTGTAATTGAGGCAGCCTTGATCAGTCAATCAATTTCATTTTTTTTTTGCAGGAAGAGGGTGATGAGGACATGATGTTCAAAATGGTGTTTGTTGTAAATATGGAGCTGTCCATGGGTGTGGGAAAGGTAGATATTATTTATTACAATTCCCAGATTTACAATGTACTTCGTATAGAAGTGGTTGATACAGAAAGATGAACAAAAGACCATTATGTTATATCTGATGCATGACTGATCATCAGTCGAAACGTAATGTGAAACCAATAACAAATCGGTGTTTTCTCTAACATGTCACATTCTGTTCTTGGAACTGACAGAATTAAATTGCTTAACAAATAAGAAAATAATACAAAATTTCTTTGATCTTACTATTCAAAATATTATGTGATATAATTGTTTTGAACAGTATGCAACCTAAACATAGGCCTATGCGTAAACAAAGTGTATTTTAGGGTTTTATTACCCATTCAGTTTCTCTTCATTTATTAATAAAAACAATCCATCTATAAACATCGACACATTTCCATTTCCTGAATGCAATTTAATTTCTTAAGTTATTCAAATTTAAAGCAGATATTTTAGTTTGTGTTTTGTTTGTTTATAATTGATGCTTGTTTTTTGGCCACAGTTATAAACTGTCATCCTGCAAGTCACAATAATAAGAAATTTCCTCATAAATATGGACTAAAATGTCTAAACTAAAAACCTTTATTATGATTTGGTATCTCGTAATGAGTCTCTCTCTCATAATAATGATTTAAGATCTCCTAATGAGAAACGCAAGCGTGTTGTGCATGAATATGCGCAATGAAAAAAAAAAAGATGCTATATAAATAGTTTTCCAGATATATTCCTTTTAGTATAATTGAGCTCTTATGTGTACAGGTGCTTTTACATACAAGTGTGAAGTGTTCTCTAGCCGAAGAGCTTGCCATGGTGACAAACAATGGTGCCTGCTTATGCTAATAAATAAATCTAACAAAATTACCAATTAAGTCAAATGCATTTATTAATTAATTATATGGCATTTATTTTTCCATGCAATGTGTGTGTTCATGTTTTGAGCATATAAAAGCTAAAAGGTTGTGAATAAAGGCATATATACAAAGTGCCTTACTTTGTTCTTGTTATATTTACATGGCTTTGACCAGAGGATGTCGCCAGCGTGAGGATTTTTCAGCACTGAATCATTTTCTGAAGCAATTGGTTCAGTTTTTTGAAGTTGTCTCCTAACTCTACTTTTTAATCTGATGCATTGTGAATGCATACAATAAGCCATAATTACGGGGAAAATTTGTAAAACTAATCAGAACTATAAGTAATTATTACGAGAAAGTTTTTCATTATTATGCCTTGCATTTTTCACTCATCAACTGTTGGAGAAATGGGCATACTGTCAATCTAGCACAACTTTTGCTTTTCAACTAATTTTATTTGTTAGAGAACAATGTCTTGTGTATGGTCCCCGGATTTCAATAGATTTGAGATGAGCAGTGTGTCCCTGTAGGTGGCAGCGCAGGTGGGTCATGCTGCAGTGGGTTTGTATCAGGCCTTGCAGGAGAAAAACAGTTGGAGGGAAATGGCCTGGAGATGGGACCATGCTGGGTAAGAGATATCACTGTGGCCTCATGCTTCTATTGTTTTTAAAATAAATATTAAACCAAGACATATATATATAAAAAAAGAATCACTAATGAATCAAAATATATACAGTATGTAAACCTAACACACATTTGTGTGTGTGTGTGTGTGTGTGTGCGTGCCTGTTTAGAGCAAAGAAGATTGTGTTACAAGGCACTAACATGGCACACCTTTTGGAGTTGCAGGCTCTTGCTATGAGCCTCAGTCTTCCTACAAAGCTGGTACAGGATGCTGGACACACACAGGTTAGTGGCACATCTATGCAAAGATGCTTTAGCATGGCATTGCAGTTATTGTTTTAATATGACAAATGGTGTGAGGATTGTACAATTTTATAGGTTTTATGTTTACAATATACCTAAAATAGCATATAAAAAATTAGCGACTATATAAGTTAATGGTTTATAGTTGTATATGCTAATGTATTATACATATTTGACACAAAATTGAAAATCTAATGAGTAAGGCTGATGATACATGGGGCAACTTTTTGGGCAATGTTCCCATCAAAGGGCAACCAGGTGAGACACAGGGCCCACGACTGATCTAAAGTATGGGAAAAGAACATTGCTAAAAAAAAAGTTGCTGAAAAAGTTGCACTGTGTCACATCAGCTTAAGACGTTTTAAAGATGTGTGATGAAGCCTGGAAATTAATTTTGGACTGTTTTTGTGTGTGCAGGTGGAGCCAGGTTCATGCACCGTACTTGCCATCATAGGAGAAGAGGAGATGGTGAATAATGTCACGGGCAGTCTGAAACTGCTTTGAGGAAACTACCGTAATGCTGAGGAAAACTTTTCAAAAGTGTAGGTTTGTGATGTACCACAGAAAGAACAGGGGTCAGTGTTTCCCCACAGTAGCATGGTTTTCCTCCCGATAATGGTGCACTCAGTAATTTTTGGTTAAAATTGTGATGACTTACACTGACACCTAACAACGTGGATGCATCTTTACACAAAAGCAAACATTTTCTGTTACTGATACCTAGGGGTGGGTTATATACCATTATAATTTTGTTAATCAGTATAACTATGTGTATTGTTTTTATTGTGGTTATGCCAGTTTTTCCTGCAGTTCTGAAATTCAAGTATCGCAGCAAAAGAAACCATAGTTTACTCCAGTTGTGAATGTGAGTTTGCAATTTGAATTGAATGCCAGTGTATCGCAAAATAACGGTCTTTCTATTTAGCTATCATTGCGAGTAGCACACAAAACGCAGAACAAACAACGCCGAATATTCCGATTTACAAACAATACACATACATTACAGCTTTCACTTAATCCTTATGAAAAGTGTTCACACGGAGTAAATTATTAAAAAAATTGAGAACTTGGAATATATTCAATTAAATTATAAGGGGTAATGGGAATTCTATATAGTCACTGAAAGGTTTTCAGTATTGTCATGGAAGGTTATCCGACATGTAAAATGGAGAAGAGGCTTTAGAACAAAAAAAAAGTCATCATACTAAACATACTTAACTTGTATTGTTTATTCATTGCTTGCAGTAAAAACAAGATAAAGATGATGTAATCAATAAAACACTATATATTAAGTTCCATTGCAGTATTAGTGATACAAATCTCAATTTTAGATCTACCATTGCTTGGAAATTGGATTCATAAATATTCTTAAACTGTATATTGTGATGTATATTGGTCTCGATAATATTGTTACATTTTTGCTTGTATCACACATTCTTACCAATACCAGTGTAGCATGTAGAAATGCAGAGTAAGCCATGATTTATTTATTACTCAATCAAAATAGGGTAGAAGTTGAATTACTGAGATAAAATTAGTAGAATTTGACTGCCAATGCAACCCACATGAGGTGACTTTTATTAAGCCAATGAAATTACTGTCATCCTCTCATATAAGTGTATGTGATTTAAAACCTTTCTTTTAAATATTACATTTAATTTATTTTGTACAGCTTTTTAATGAAGGAAGAAATTACTGAGTGAACCTGTGGAAAAACGCCTACATACAGTAGTTTAACGCAACAGGTATGTTTAAATAATTGCATTTTAAAGCTCTTAAGTTACGTGAGAAGACAACTAATTGATATTATCAACAGGTCCCTAAATTTCTATAGAGCTAAAAAAAATCCTTAAAGAGGAGATGTCAGTTAAATAGCAGTGTGTAAAAATGTATAATGAATTATAATCACATGCAAGTGTTATACTTAATGTGCCTGTAGAACCCAATGTTTTGATGATTGTGAAATCAAATAGCCATTGTCAAAGTATAATGTATAACATGTTTCTTCTTTTTTTTATTGTGGGAATATTTTTTATTGTTTACAATTAAATGTACCCAATCCCTTTGTGATGATAATATCAACCTGTTTGTAGCTTCACTTCCTTGTCATGTACGGTTCCTGTACTTTTACATCATGGAATATTAAGGTGTTCATTTTATACCCCTCTTCAGAATCTCTGTGGAAGTAGTAAGTTATCTAGGTACTTTTCGCCTACTGTTGCTGTGAATTTGGACACATTGTTTCTGGTACTGCAGGGAGGTAGGCATATTTGGACATGGGAAGTGACTTCCTGTTACACTATATGGTTTAAATATGTAGTGGCACATAGGCCAAATTCCAATACTCATCCGTCACTCTTCATCCTGAACACTCCCTCCATGATGGTATTATGTGACCTTATTCATATTACAGAAATTGTCTCTTATATAGAACAGCAACATTAACCTGGCTGTCTGCCACCACTTAATGCTCATACCACTGTGATGATTGCAAACATAGAGATTGGTCTATATTTTAAATGCATCCATTAAAAAAAGAATGCTACTACAATTTCCTTTGTATAAAATGTTAGTCTACTATGAGAAATGTGTTGTCTAGATTGACAGCTTTTTTTCCTTAATTATTCCTCCATGGACGGCAGCTGCCTACTCGTCTACATTCAAGGCGAGGCGTATGGCATATCAAGCAAGCCTATTTGCACACATAGACATTCATAAACAAGAAACTGTATCAGCACTAATTCACTCAGCTAGCCATAATATGTAACGGTTACGTAATTGCAACATAATCTGATAACCAAAATGTTGCTGCAGTTAGTTATGTTGTGACATCCATATAAAAGTGAAATTACCACAGTATAACTTTGACATTTACAGTTGGTAAACGTGACATTGCTGTTAAGAAGGTGATTTTTACAGGTATATATGCTGTAGTCTAACCTAATTTATTTGCTAGAATTTTGTCTGCGAGTGTGGACGATGAATGCTCAAAACTAATTTACTTTAGACAAAAAAAATTACAATGCAGCAACCGTAATGGAAAGAACTAGTGGCAACACAAACTTGTAGACTACATGACATGTGCTCAGTCTTTACACTACTGGCAATTCAAATTTTACACAATTGTGTAAATGTACATTGCTTAAACCTTTTAAATGTCTCAAAATATAATAAAACAACCACTTTCTGCTTATTCAAAATAATGTGATTTAATTGTTTTCAATAATATGCAACATCTCAAAATTGTTTTATGTACTCTTGTACATAGACAAGCTTGTAATACCTTAAATATATTTGCTCATTTCATTTTAATAGCTTAAAAGATATATAATGGTTACCTGCTTTATTACAATATAAGCTTCACCAAAATGTACTGAGAAACATTTAACAAGAGAATCTCTGTCCCAGTCCCAGGCAGACATGGCAGTTAAACTACTAAATATACTTTTTTATTTTTAAACTAAAAGAAAAAATTAAAGAGATGTTATGTCAGTTGATGTCCTTAAGTTGCCTTCTATTATTGTACTGATTTGGACTTTTAGATAAAGTAGGAACAAAGAAAAAATACCCATCAAATAAATATAAAGTGTTTCAAACCCAGGGTACTTATATATAAATTAAAAAAATCAAATATCTAATTCTGTTATAAGTTATGAGCAAAACACGTACATAATGAAAAAAAAAAAAATATATATATATATATATATATATATATATACACACACACCCACATATAGAGAGAGAGAGAGACGAATACAATTATACAGCATTTACAATATTAAGAAATATATTTACATAAATGTATTTAACATTCTGAATAACACGCGTACGGATGCCCGTCCTCTTCAGTTGCGCACGCAGCCGCATGATTCAGTCGGGGGCACATGCAGTTACATTACATATTCCAGATCCATAACAATAAAAATATCAGCCTATGCGTATATTAAACCTAGTCCAAAGGTCATATAAAAGTAAATGTACTTGAATGTGTTTCATTAAGATTAAGTAATGACTAACGCAAGTACGCTTTTGTCGAGTCGCTTTCTGCTCCTCACAGGAACGGCCTTCCTTTGTTAACTTCTAAACTATACTATATTGGAATTAGCGCTTCAAGTGTACATACATATTTCAACGAAAATCGCATTTAAACCCATTACGGTCAGAGTGATTTAATATGGTTCGTTGGCCTTCTAAGCGTGGTTTATAATTTTGGCCCATGTTTGGTCTCACTTAAGTCTTCCTCGTTTTAAAATCAAGCACCACAGTTCGCCAACTGAGTTAATATTGTATAGAATGAAATCCTGCACCAAATCAATCGTTCAGTCCAATCCTGGATCCCTCATATATTCCTCTTCACAGTATGAGTATTGTTGACGCTCTAGTATCGCGCTCCCTGCGATAGCGCCCAGGAGACCCCGTGCTGCTACAGCTGTACACGGATAAATGAAAAAAATATTCCTTATATGAAAGACCATTGAACTCCACGGCGTGTGTATTTAGTAAAACAACATCTTTCCACAAATCCTCGGTCCCTTCTTTTGAGAGTATCCATTTTAACTAGCTGTTAGTCTTCCAAACTTACAACTCCTGCAGCCTCTCAACGCCACCTCGCGCTGCAAAATGCTGAGTCTAGAGAAGTGAGCCACCTCCCAAAAACAAGGCTCTGCCTCTTTTCTGTCTACGACAACAGTTAGCTACGCAGTGATCCAACGGCATATGCGCGTTCCTGTTTGTAACAGCGATTGACACATTTCTAGCCTATAGCATACCAGAGGGCGCGAGCTAGAGCTAAAAGTCCGCCCTCCTAATGAACCCCTGTTCCGCTGTGGAGGAAACCCTGTATTATGGTTGTGTGTAGGCTTCGCTGGGAGCCGCGGTCGCGATGCCGGTGTAGAGAGGGGGATGGGCAATACTGCAAATGTAAAGGACATGAGATTGAATCACAGTCTTGAATCACCAAGTGCTGTACATACCCATATAAATACCGACTATTATTTTGTAAAATAACATTGTATATTAATGTATTCTTTAGCAACTCAACGTGAACATTTGAAGACCGCACAGTGTCTTAAATGGGAGAAAATGTGAAACTTTCAACTCTTGCGTAAGGGACACTGAGAAGTTTGGAAGATAGCCTGAGAGCCTCGCGGTGTACAGTTCACAGGAAACACCGAGGTTGCAAGAAAAGGCCTGCTGTTCTGCCTCGCATCGATGTTGGATTAAAAAAAAACACTAAATACCTTTAATAAGCATTTGAATTTCAATTACGCTGGAAGGACGCTGTAGGTAAGGCATTTTGTTATTTCCACGTAGGTTTTGATTGCAATAGCTTTTTTATCATCTAACGTTAGGTAAAGTTGATGCAGAAGTTGGGAGCTCAGTTTATCAGTCCTTGTTTATCAACACGCATTGTAGCTTTTCTGTTTCAACTGTTCTTGGTTGATTGTTTCTGCTGTCACGTTAATTAATCAAATCAAGTAATTTTAATGATTTAACACTGTGTTGGTTGATCTGCATGTTAGCTTGATGTAGCCATAATCCTAATCACACTTTGCCAAGAACCTCGTGCTAAGAACTGTTTTTTTTCGCTGTAAACATTCAGTGATCGGCCTACTGTTATGCTGGCTGTTTTATGGTTTGCACATTTATCACGTTCACATCATTCGTGCCCCTTAACATAATACAGTATCTATCAAAGTGAGCAAATGTATCATTTTAGTTAGCTGTTAGCTTAGCCGAGAGAGGCTGTCTTAAAAGCTAGCACGGTTTAAAGTAATGCGTTAAAACGCTAAAAATTGTTCTTCGCCAGTGATCTTAATTGGAAAATAATAGGAGAAACAAATGATACGGGTTTTGTGGCAGAAACTGTGACTCAGGGCATTTTAATGTTAGTTTACTTGTTCTTGTGTAAACCAAGTTTCTATGTGAAAACAGACATGGCACAGTTTGTATTTACAACATCCGTGCTTGTCAGAATCGAATTTTATCAACTGCATTTTCAGAGAACATAGGGTATGGTGTGTGAAGGTGCTTAACTCTGGCTTGGCCTCGTTTAACTTTATGTAGGCACTTTGTTGGACTTACAAAGTGGATTTTTTTTTTGTCTGTTCTAAAAGAAGATGGTTTGTCGGGATAAGCAGATATCCTGTTGAGCAGTGCCCTGTGCTCTGATATGTATGTCTCTGTTTTTGATATAGACTGCTTTCATCTTGTTGACTATGAGAAAACTTTATGATGTGTTTAGAATTTCTTGATCTGGTATGTGTTTTCTTTTGGAAGCGAAAATAATGCGAACCCCGAGAACCGTGACTTGCTTTTCTCATTCTTCACATCCGCCTCCCCCATCAACCAACCCCCAACTCCATCCATGAGAAATGGGTGGTATTTCTAAGGGGAACTCGCCTTTCCTTTTTTAGCCTCCATTTTTATTTCAACAACAAGTGAGTGGAAACGACAAGGAAGAGAAGGCAACCGAGAGCGAGTGGAACTCGACATGATTCGCTCACGTTACTGCGGATAGCACACACACATATATATATATATATATATGTATATGTGTGTGTGTGTGTGTGTGTGACAAAACGCTGTAAACGAAAACGCTGCAAAGAATTAACATTTGTTGTTCGGGTAAAATTAACCGTGAGAAACGCCTGCTGTTGTGGCAAGGCCGCGTACTCCATACTGAGGGTTACTTTTACGTATACACATTACATTATTTTAGAGGTCCTCTGGCAGCATACTGTCCTGTCTGTTCGTTGATAAATTTGATATCTTCAGGACCCGAAACAAAGACTGTCCATAACTGTGCCTGATAGGATTCACACATTCTTGAACTGGTATCCACCTGCTATTTGCATGGACTGGGTCAGATAATACATGATTGTAGTGTAAACTGTTAAACTATTTGTATAAGAATAGTGTTTGGGGGAAACTGTTGGACATGTCTTATTTTGTTGTAAAAAATTATGACTGGCCATGTACATAAACATTTTTATGCTTAAAAACAGTCAAACAGCTGTGTGTGTGTGTGTTTGTTTGGAAGACCTCAGAAAGGAAATGTCTTTTTTGTAGTTCTTGAAGAGATTGCTGGCAACTGCAAGCATATGATTGGGCCAGTCCGACATTTTCCTAGTATGTTTTCAGGTTTTATTTTCGTCCGCCTTGAACTATGTGAAACCTGATCTTTCTGTGACTCACCCAACTGGTTATCTAAAGTCAATGTGTGTCTTTGTCCAGAGACAAAGGACAAGCTTAGAAAGTCGAAACTTTTTTTTTAAGTGTAGCATGTATGAAAATAGTTTAAATGCACTGAAGCATTTTAGTATCAAAATGTAGAAAGCGTTGGAGTTTTAACTGAATGTTAATTCAGCGAAACTGTACCACAAATCAAGACATAATGGCAAATATGCAAAGCATTTTTTATCACAACTGTTTATATATATATAACCAGTGTATAAATCCTTTTTGCCAAAGTAATACTTTTTGATTGTGAAGATGACAGCAACAGTTCCAATGTTTTTATGACCTGCATTGCTTTTAAAAGAATATTATGCAATCTACTGTTGTGATGCTTTTTTTTTAAGAACATAGAATCAATATGCTTTGGCCAAATGTTTGTAGTTTGTAATTTGTAGTTTTAGTTAATTAGATATTTATTTCATACATGAGCTCTGTCGTGCCTCATTTTAGAGGTGGTTTCTATTCCTGAACCCATGCATACACACGTTGGAGCTCATTGTGATCAATGCATTTTAAAAGGAAAATATTTCTTTGTGTATTGATTTTTTTTGTTTTGTTTTTAATCTGAATGTAGAAAATACAGTTTGCTTTTGGTTTTCTGGGGCCTTTAGCTCTTGTGCTATTATATGTACTGAGACTAAAAAAACAGTTGCTGAGATGCCTGCTCCTCTTCTGCTTCCTGATTGGGTGGTTTCAGAGACCCTCAGCCAATCAGATGCGTTTGAGTGTTGTCTCTCTCTCTCTCTCTCTCTCTCTCTCTCTCT